TTTTATTTCTTCCTTTCCTATCTTTTTTTCTCACCTTAGTGTGCTGGCTACTACCTCCCATTATGTTGACATGGAGTGGTGAGAGTAGAAGTCCTTGCCTTGCTTCCAAACTTCAGGTGAAAGTATCCAATCTTTTCTTCTTTTTTCCTTCTAGCAGTTTGTATTTTGTTTATTTTTTACATTAACTAACTGGAATTAAAATAAAAATTTTTAAAAAGCATTCAATCTTTCACCATTAAAAATGATGTTATCAATATTTTTGCCAATGTTCTTTATCAGCTTGAGGAAGTTTCCCTTTAATTCCTAGGTTTGGGTTTTTTTTTTTAAAGTCATGAATTGATGTTCAATTTTGTCAAATGCTTCTTCTTCTAACTGAATTAGACAGTTTGACTTCTGTATATTGAAACAATCTGCATTTTCAGAATCTATACCATTTGTGATGAATCATCCTTTTTAGAAATTGCTAAATATGATATTTTGTTGGGAATTTCCATGTCTATGTTCATGAAGGATATTAGTCAATAGTTTCTGTTCTTATAATGTTACTGTTGGCTTTTGTTATCAGGGTAATGCTAGCTTCATAAAATGACTTAGGTTTCATGTCTAATTTTTTTGAAGATTTTGGTTAGAATGAAAATCATTTTTTTCCTGAAATATTTGGCTAGAATTTGCCAATAAAGCCATTTGCCCCTAGGTTTTCTTTGCTGGATTTTTTTTTTTAATTTAAGTTCAATTTAATTAACATATACCGTATTATTAGTTTCAGAGGTAGAATTTAGTGATTCATTGTTGCATACAACACCCAGTGCTAGATGGTTTTATTCTATACAATGTTTAGGAGATATAGGACCATCCAGGCTGTCCACTTCTTGTGTATGCTTTGGTAAGTTGTGTCTTTCAAGGAATTCACACAGTTTGTTGAAATTGTTAATTTTATAGGCGTAAAGGTGTTCCTAATGTTCTCATGAAGTTGTTCCTAGTATTTACAGGGACCTTGACACCTGCAAGCCATGTAATGGGTTGACATTCTGGAAATGCTGCTCCTGGTGGTTGGCAACAGGTATCCTTGCTTGATACAGTTTAATTCCATTTGGATTAGAGAACATACTTTGCATGGTTTTACTTTTAAATTTGGTAATGGTTTGCTTTATGGCCCAGAATATGATTTATCTTGGCAAATGTTCCAAATGCCCTTGAAAGTAATGTGTATTCAACCACTGTTGGACGAAGTGTTCTCTAAATGGCAAATAAGTCAAGCTGGGTGGTAATGTCGTTCGTTTCCTATATCCTTACTGATTTTCTGTCATCTTGTTTTGTCAATTACTAAGGGAACTATTAATTTTCCAAATATACTTAAGGTTTTCTCAGTTTTTGCTTCATGAATCTTGAAACTCTGTTGTTAGGTGCATACACATTTAGAATTGTATGTTACCTGCTGTACCCTTGGTAATATTCCTTGTCTGAATTCTTTGTTGATATGAATATAGATAGTCCCAGCTTTCTTTTGATTAGTTTTAGCACAGCATACCTTTTTTCATCCTTAGTCTTTTAGCCTACTTAACCTCTTTATCTTTGAAAAGTGTTTCTTACAGAAAACACATAGCATGTTAGGTTTTGCTTTTTTATCCAGTCTGACAATCTCCATTTTAAGTGGTGTGTTTAGAACATCTACATTTAATTATTGATATCACAGGCCTTGAACCTACCATCTTGCTAATGTTTACTATTTCGACCATGTGTTATTTGTTCAATTTTCCTGCTTTTGGATTGAGTTTTTTTTTAATAATTCCATTTTGTCTCTACTACAGGCTTATTAGTTATATATCAGTTTAAATTTTTTTAATGGTTGTTCTGGGGCTTATGAAATGCACCTATAATTTTTCACAGTCTACTTTCTAATATTATGCCAATTCATGTAGTGTAGAACAGCATACTTCCGATTTCTCTCTGCTCTGTTTTATGGTATTGTTACATTTTACTTCTTATATATGCTATAAACTCACAAAACTTTGCTCACATTTTTGCTTTAATGAATATTTTCAAGTGATTAAAAATAAGAAAAACTTTTACATTTGCCTCAATTTTAAGCATTTTCGAAGTTCATTCATTCATTCTCTCTTTCCATTTCTTTCTCTCCCTCTCTCCCTTCCTTCCTTCCTTCTTTCCTTCCTCCCTCCCTCCTTCCTTCCTTCTTTTCCTTTCTTCCTTCCTTCCTTGGCTTCTTTCTTTTTCTTTCTTCCCTCTTTTGATTCAAATTTGCTTCTGGTATAGTATTCTTTCTGTCTGTAGAAATTCCTTTAATATTTCTTATAGTACTGATCTGCTGGTAGTAAATTCTATTAGCTTTTATTCATCTGAAAATCTTTATTTTGCATACTTTTTTGAAAAACATTTTCATTGGGTAGGAACTTTTGATTTTGTTTGATTTTGTTTCAGAATGTTAAAGATATCACTCCGTTGACTCCTGGCTTGAATGGTTTTTGATGAGAAGTCTGCTCTTTTTCTCATTTCTGTTCCTTGTATGTAATGTGTCCTTTTTCTCTGCCATCAATATTTCCTGTGCCTTGTTCATTTTCAGCTATTTGGCAATAACAGATCAAGTTTTTGTTTGTTTTTAAATCCTGTTTGGGTACTCTGAGGTTCTTGGAGCTGGTAGAGGTCTTTTATTATTTTCGGAAAATTCTCAGCTATTATCTCTGCAAACATTTTTCCTCTCATTCTTTCTTTCCTCTCTTCCTAGATTCCCAATTACATATATTAGACCATAAAAAAAGTTTTCCCACAGTTCTTTGATACTCTATTCTGTGTTCTTCACACTTTTTTAGTTTGGATGATTTCAATTGACCTATATTCAAGTTCTGACACTTTTCTCAGCTTTGTTGAGCCTACTCATGAGTTCTTCAAAAGCATCCTTTGTGATAAATTTTCTTTTCTAGCCTTTCCTATTTGATTCTTTGTTAATTTCCACTGAAATTCCCCCATCTGTTCATGTATATTGTCTGCTATTCTCACAAAAGCGCTCACTACATCAATCAGTTATGTAAAATTCTGATATTTCCAAAATATGCTCATCTCAATGTGTGACTTATTAATTAGTCTGCTGTTGCTTGGCAGAGGATTGTTTGTTCTTTTCATCTTGTAATTTTTTAATTGCATGCCAAATAACATTTATGAAACAGTGGAGACTGAAGTAAATACTATTTTTGTCTGCAACTGGGCACTGCTATTCTGCTAGGATGTTAGGGTGAACCAATCTGGTCAGGAATTATGTTGGAATTAAATTCTGTTGTTGCAAAAGTTATCTTCAGTACACCACTTCAAATTTTTCTAATGTTACCTTGTGCTTAGGGTAGGGGCTGGAGTGCTGGAGGATTCTTCTCCATGTTCCTCCTTCACCCTCTGCTTTTGGCCATCCCTGTGTACCTGTGTGCCACAGGATTCTCTGTCCATGTTCTTACCATTTTCCCAATGTAGCAGGCTATTGCTTAATGCTAGGAGCAAGCTAGCCTATTTATGGGAAAGAGGGATATTCTTTATTGTCTTGGTTTAGTCTCAGTTTTGAGTGGAGATTGGAGAGGACAGAGATCATATGCATTTGGGGGAGCTAGGACTACATAACCCTAAAAATGAGACAGAAGCTCTCTTCCCTCAGCTGTGAGCAAAAAAGGTGATACCACTATCTTGTGACCAATCTAAAGACAAGAGTTCACACAAAACGACAGAAGTGAGAGAATTCAAGAAATACAAAGTCTCCTTGGCTAACTCAGAGCCAGGTCTTACCCTGTATCTTTTCATTTATATGAACTGAGAAATATGTTTGGTTTAAGCAACTCTAAGTTATATTTCTTGTTACTTACAACTAAAAGCACCCTAAATGATAAAACCACCATGAGCTCTCATGATCTTCCCTTGTAGGTGATGACAGTAAAGAAAGGCATTAGAAGCCCAATTTCTGATGATATTGTGCAACTTGAACTAGCACCTTGGAAGCCAGGTTAAGTGAGTACTTTGGTCACCTTGTTCATCCAATGAGGGAAATCTGATAGAAAAATGATAATGAACCAATATATAACACTACTGAATTGTACTAGGGCATTCTAGGCTGCATGGTCTTTGAGATCTAAAGAAATTTCACAGAAAGATAAAGGTGCTGACATCTAATTTATCTGTATCCTCAAAAACCCAGGGAATTTTGAAAATTAACCTCAGGAATTTTATTCTTTAGTTTTGGCCATAATGCCATCTAGTGAAATAGAGCAATCACATCATGAATTCTTAACTATAGAGGATGATATCTCAGTAGTTTATTACTTCAGTAAAATTGGCAAATGTTAGTTGAAAAAAGCTTTAAATGAAGTATGCAAAAGACTAAGCCAAAATTTTGTTTGTCAGACAAAACTACTGTATATATGATGACGCATAATCTTTCATACATCATCTGTGAAGCATGTATTTGAACATATATGTATACAGACTTAAATTAACTGGATATTATGAAGGTACAATCCACATTTTCACTAAACAATATGCATGATTCTTTGTCATTTTAGATTGATTACTTACTTTTTGTAACTCCATTTTATAGGAACTTGGGAGAAATTTATTCAAACCCCTATTTATTTCCAGTTTAAAAAATTACCCCCATTGTAGAGATTTTTTCTATTAAAATTGCTTTATCATAAATTATTATTCTATGTTTCCAAGTGGGTATGCACATTTTACATACAGATAGACAGATATGGTATTTCCATACATATGTATGTATGTAAAATGTGCATACTCACCTCGAAGTACTATACGTACTATATATAGTGTACATGCACTATATATACATGTACATACATAGTATGACTCTTCTCTAACAAACTTGTGTATTTTTCAATCCCACCAACAGGATGCATTATTTTTGGAAGATAGAGACTAGCAAGTAAAAGACAATCCTATCTTAATAACCAATATATTTGATAAGATGTTTAGAAAAATTTAAGATTTTTCCTTTATTTGTGTGAGTGGGAGAAGGATAGGATGGAGAACTTGATAAAATTAAAGCCCTCCAAAAGCATCACAGATTCTGCCTAAGGAGGTTTGAATTGGACAAAGGCTATAACTCTTAGAAATTAGTCAGATCCAAAGAACTTTGACGTCAATATGGAGACTAAAGAACCAAAGTATTGTAATTTTGACATTTATTAAGAAAGTATTTTTCATTAGTAACCATTTCTGACACTTTGCAAATATTACAGTTAAACTCTGCCTTAACACACAGGGTAGGAGTAAAAAGTCAATTATGTAAAATGCAGTGTAACCAAAAACATTGTTTATCAGTTTGTACTGTCATTTAAAGTGCACATGTGTATACACACACTCACTCACACACACACACACACACACACAGCACTAAACTTAAACTGATGGTATACTGTATAGAAAGAGACCAAATGGTAAGAATTCAGCTCATCCTCTTTAAGACAGGACAAAGGATGGGAACCAATCCCCACAGGGTCACAGCCAAATTTATGTTAATTTCAGATTGCAATATTGTTTGACATCCTACAATTCAAGGAATATCTTCCCACTTGAAGTGCTTATATTAAGGTTACTTGCAGGATTCCTCCTCCAAATACATTTTTAAATGTTTTTTGGGGGGGAATGAGCTTAACAAATTTTTTAAATATGATACTTTTATACATTTTTAGTCATTAGGCAAAAAGTACTGAGCACCTACACTGAGTTATGCAATGTCATGGTTTTGTAAACTCAGCAATGAATGAAGCCCCTTCCCTCACTAAGCTTACATTAGACTGGTCATGGATTTAGGCACACACATATTATACTTTTGTTACTCTTATCTTTTATAAGCCCTAGTACAATGATAGTTAAAGTCATGTGCAATGCCTGTTAAAAGTTGTGACAAAATTCCTTATGGAAACTCTCTTGTTAGATGTCTCTGCTGTGTGGTCTGACTATTATGAATGCTGAGGTTGGGCAGAAACATTACATTTTCATTAAAGAAATTTTTTCTACTATAATAACTCTAGTGAATGGAAAATTTCAGTTCCTATTTGAGAACTTCAAAACAAATAGAACTGTTTTATAGAACTTCATTTCTGTATGGATTCTCTGATAAAGGATAATCCTTACCATACTCCTCACTTTTATAGAATTTATCACCACTATGGACTCTCTGATGAATAAGTAGACCTGAGCTCCAACGGAAACCCTTACCACATGCATCACATTTGTATGGTTTCTCTCCTGTGTGGACTCTCTGATGAGCCTGAAGGTTTGATCTCTGACTGAAGCCCTTCCCACACACCTCACATTTGTATGGTTTTTCCCCAGTGTGGACTCTGTGATGAGCTTGAAGACTTGAAAACCCACTGAAACCCTTACCACACTGTTCACATTTATAGGGCCTCCCTTCTGTGTGGACCCTCTGATGTGCTTGAAGGCGTGAACTCTCACTGAAGCCCTTTGTGCATACCTCACATTTGTATGGTTTCCCTCCAGTGTGGACCCTCCGATGTGCTTCAAGGCGTGAACTCTGACTAAAGCCCTTCCCACACATCTCACATTTGTATGGTTTCACTCTAGTGTGGACTCTCTGATGACCTTGAAGATATGCTCTCTGACTGAAGCCCTTCCCACATACCTCACATATATATGGTCTCTCTCCAGTGTGGACACTCTGATGGCTTTGAAGGTATGATCTCTGACTGAAGCTCTTACCACACTCATCACATTGGTATGGCTTCTCTCCTGTGTGGACTCTCTGATGAGCCATAAGAGTTGAGGCCTTACTGAAGCCCTTGCCACATTCTTCACATTTATAGGGTTTCTCTCCTGTGTGAACTCTCTGATGAATTTGGAGATTAAAGCTCCAACTGAAGCCTTTCCCACACTCCTCACATTTGAATGGTTTTTCACCAGTGTGGACTCTCTGATGGCCTTGAAGGTGTGAACTCCGACTGAAGCCCTTCCCACACTCCTCACACTTGTATGGTTTCTCTCCAGTATGAACTCTCTGATGTCCTTGAAGGTATGAATTGCGACTGAAGCCCTTCCCACACTCTTCACATTTGTATGGTTTTTCTCCAGTGTGGACTCTCTGATGGGCTTGAAGGTATGAACTCCGACTGAATCCCTTGTCACACTCCTCACATTTATAAGGTTTCTCTCCCGTGTGGACTCTCTGATGAACATTAAGAACTGACCTATGACTGAAGCCTTTACCACATGCATTGCATTTGTATGGCTTCTCTCCACTGTGGACTCTCTGACGATCTTTAAGTTTTGAACTCCAGTTGAGGCCATTCCCACAGTCCTTGTAAGCTTTCTCTCCAATGTGAATTTTCTGATGACCTTGAAGATAAGAATTTTGGCTGAAGCTGTTACCACATGCATAATGTTTATATGGTTGTTCCCTAGTGTGGACTATCTGAAGGTCCTGAAAATGTGAGGCCAGACTGAAGTCATTACCACATTCCTCGGAATTATAAGGAATCTCTTCCATGTGAACTCTATGCTGGATGTTAAGACTTGAGCTACAAATAAAACCCTTCTCATATTCCACATCTGTATATAGTTTCTCTTCAGTGTGGATTTTCTGGTGGACTTGAAGACAAGAACTCTGATTAAAGACATTCCCATTCTCCTCATATTCATGGGGTTTCTCCACAGTACAGACCCTGAAAATACTATTAAGGTCTAAGCTATGACTGAAGTCTTTCTCATAAATATTGCATCTATAGGACGTCTCCCCTGTGTGAATAAGTTCACAAGTGTTAAGAGAGGAGCACTGACTGAAGTTCTCACCATATCCACATTTACATGGCTTCTCCTCTCTCTGTTCTCTCTGATGGGATTGCAGATGTGAACTCTCAAAAACACAACCATCTCCTCTATGAACACTCTGATGAATATGAAGAGCTGAACTATAACTACAGCCCTTTCTACAAGGACTGTAGGAATGGGTCTTCCCTTCTAAGTGTAACTGCTGATAAACTTCTGATCTGGAGTCATCACTGAAGGCTCTTCTGTACTCATTACAGGGGTAGGGCTTTTGCCCTGTTTGAATTAAGTCTTGATTAAGCGATGAAACCTTCATGATGTTCCCTCCACAGTCATGGCAGCTGTAGTTTTTTTCTGTTCTGTGTATTCCCACATTATCATTATGATGTGATATCGAACTGGTGCCGTCACACTTACAGAAATTATTTTTCATCAAAACTTGCTGACATCTACACTGATAATTATGTGACTCTGTCAGATACATTTTCCTCCAAGAATGCTGGGCTCTCCAAGATGGAAATTCTTGACTTTTTAGGCAATTAGAAACATCCTCTATATGAGTCAATATACAGTTCTCATCTTCAGAAATATGAATTGGCACTCCTGCCCAAAGCTGGCAGGGGAAATCACCTTGGTTTTGAAATTGAGAAATATTCCCTTGAAAAATTTTCATGGAATCTTGACACCTGGTTAACCCGCCTGCACCCTGTTGCCAGGTCTGCTGGGAAGAAAGCTCTTTGGGAGAAATGTAGCCTAATCCCACTTCTTGATTACTCTCCATAATGTGTTGACTCTTGGTTCCTATAATGATAAAGAGAATTTAGACATGTGCACAAGTGAATGTTTTTGTTCAGAGATTTCAAGATTTTGCACTTAGGTCATGAAATGAAACTTCAATGAAATACAGGAAAATTCATGTTACTACCTCTAAGAATACTTAGAAAGTGGCTCTTCTGTGGTTATATCAGGAATATAAGGAGGATCCACATAATTCAGGCTACCTGTACGCCTCAAAATCAGGGCTTTGCAACACAACCTGGAAATATCAAACATGGTGGCCCTGTTCAAAAGGCCCAGTAAAACCATATTAAGTATTATTATGGGTTTATCATGGGTTGCCTAGAGATCCCAAGGACAAAATAGAAGGGGGTATTCTCAAACTGGAAAGAATAGGATTCAGGCAGACAAATGCTTTTAGTCCTGATAATAACTTTTGCTTTTTTCTCTGGCGTGTGGGTATGGCAATATTTTAGTTTGTGTTAGGAGACAGTGTTAAATGCTGTTCAGACAAGGGTCAACACAGAGGCATTATACAGCCTCTCTCTAATAAGCTATTTATCTTCATGAGAATAATAAACTCTTCTAAGTCACTGTATGCCGTATCAGTTTTTTTTTTTTAAAGATGTCTATTAGTTTCTTTAAAAATAAAAAAGATATTTCACAATTAGCAAAGGCCATTGTATAGATCAGAATGTGAAACACTGTGACAGAATTCAACTCCAAAGACAGAAAAAAAAAAAATCGAAGGAGGGAGGAAGTGGAGGGAGGAACAGCCAAGTTCCCTGGCACCTTTTAGGTGTCTTTTGAGGCAAATCATCAAAAACCAAAACTCAATGAACACTGACTTTCGTTTGTGTCCTTTTACTGGAAAAATAATGTTTAGGGAATTAGAAGCACCAGGAGAGTTGAAGACAGGCACATTTGGGTGGAAATGGTCTGTCACTTAGTTATTATCACTCAGCTTACAAGCAGACAGCAAATCTTCATATCCTGGTAAGAAGTATCCTCCCTGCAGACACTGGATTCAGCAGGGTTGATGTAATAACATGTACTTTTCTTTTTTTTTCTTTAAAGATTTTATTTATTTGACAGAGAGATAAAGGGTGGGGGGAGCACACGCAGTGGGAGAAACCGGCAGAGGGAGAAGGAGGCTCCCCACTGAGCAGGAAGCCCGATGCGGGACTCGATCCCGGGACCCAGGACTCATGACTGAGCCACCCAGATGCCCCAACATGTACTTTTCTAACACTTGGCAGCACATTAATTCTCTACAGCATCCAGAAAAGAAAGCAGTAAAACAGGATTCTTTTCACACATGAATACTATCCTCAAACATAATCATTCTTCCTTTTCTATTTGTGTTTGTCTGTCTGTCCATACTGGAATGCATTATCTACAAGAATGAGCGCTTTGTTTCCAGCAAACAGGAGTTACTCAATAAGCACATAATGAATAGGTCACAGGGTCAGTCATTTTCACTCTCAGAACTAAAAGGGCATGTATATGTGTTGTTGTTCATGGGAAAGAAACTGGTGATGGCAATTTTGCCACAAAGTTGAAAAGCTGTATAAAAGGCAGGGCTACACTTAGGGGATCACCTGCTGATGAGAAAAGCAAAGGTCACAGGAATCTCTTGTGGATTGAGTCTTTTTAATTTTTAAAATAAAATAGTGTATTTTTTTCTTGTATAAAATCTTACGGGTAACCCCTCATTATCCCCAACTAAAAAAAAAAAAAGAAAAAAAGAAAATGCCACACTGATGACTGGGTGGCATTAGGTTCTGGGGCACTGCAATGACTGCAGGGTAACAATGTATGGCACATCCATACGTACTCCTCTCAGTACTTTAAAAAAAAATGCTAGTGGGGCACCTGGATGGCTCAGTCAGTTAAGTGTCCAACTCTTGATTTCAGCTCAGGTCATGGTCTCAGGCTGTGAGATCGAGCCCCACATCAGACTCTGTGCTGGGCGTGGAGCCTGCTTAAGATTCTCTCTCTCTCTCCCCTTGCCCTCCCCCCAAACACACACACACACACACTTAGTGATGGCTTCCAGTTATTACATTAATATTTTATCACCTAAAGATGAAGTGAAGGAACATACTACAGGAGGCAGATAAAATAAATAGCTTATGCATGAGAAGTCTGGCATCCAGCTAGAGTTTATCATAATGCTTACAGTTTTGTTTGGTATCATCAGAAACACTCAGTATACATCCATAAAGATACAGGTTAATATGTTATATCTTTTGGGGCTAACATGGTGGCTTGAGGACATGATGGCAGCTTGCTAGTCAAAACCCAGTTTTTTACAAAGCTGTTTCACTAGAAATTTGTACATCATTTATGACATGACCCCTCTCAAATATTTAAGAGATTAAAGTTTCCTTTTGGCCAGTGGCTTTACAATGTTAAAGCAATACAGGAAGGGGAAAAAAGGTCATTTCACTTAGTTTCGGGCTCTATGGAAAAATCACATATTTAACAACAGCAACCTGAACTTCCTTTAGCCAGTGGTGCATACCAAAACGCCTTGTCATTTCCTTTCCTTCTCTCAACATTTAAGTTCCATCTTAGTATCAAAGGCAGGGTGCTGATGAGAAATTGTGTTAAGTCAAATTAAAAAATGAACTTATTTGATGGAGAAAATATGCACTGCAAAAGAGCACTAAAAGACTTCATTTCAAGAAGGAAAGCTGAGAATTTATTTCATCTTCTTAGTGATCCTGCTTTAGAGTTGGAGAAAGCCAATAATTCCAGCATCCTCTATGAACGAATTTAACAAGAAAAACGTTATAGGTGTTGTAAATACCAAAGAATTCCTTTAAATTTAATAGTTAGCTAGTTAGTAATAGCTAATAATGAATGAAGAGAAAAAAAACCCTCAATTTATATTTTCTTTTTCTCTCCGCTTTTAATAGAAGCTAGTCAAGAATATCAATTCAGGTGACCCAGGCTGAGAATGACCCTACATTCTTACTAACCCCCCCTTTTTTTAATGTAGCGTTCAATGATTCATTAGTTGCGTATAACACCCAGAGCTCATCACATCACGTGCCCTCCTTAATGCCCATCACCCAGTTACCCCAGCCCCCACCCACCTCCCTTTCCACAACCCTCAGTTTGTTTCCTGGAGTCTTACTGACCTTTTAGATAGTAAGAGAAAAGAAAGCACTTTGAGGGCAATAAGTGGATAGATAAATACTTACACAGCTGGCTAGTCTCCTCACCACTTCTGAGGCTTAGCTCTGTGAGAGTATATTTAACCTTTGGAGGATTTCTTCTGTCTCCACTGCTTTTCCTCACAACTGAATGAGTTCCATCTTTCTGTTTTGGAAGGTTATTAGTTATTGATTCAATTTCCTTAACAGATTGTCAATTTCTTCTTGTGTAAGTTTTGGCAAATTAGGCCTTTCATGGAATTGGTCCATTTCATCTAGGCTTAGAGTTTGTCCACAGTATTCCTTTATTATCCTTTTAATGCCCATAGGACCTGGGTGATGTCCACTCTTCCATGTCTGATATTAGTAATTTGTATCCTCTCTGTTTTCTTCTTAGTTGGCCTGACTAAACGCTTACCGATTTTAATTTTTCAAAGAACCAGACTTTGTTTTCATTTTTTTTCTCTATTGGTTTCCTGTTTTCAATTTGATTTCTGCTCTAATTCTTACTATTTCTTTACTTCTGCTGACTTTGGATCTAATTTGCTCTTCTTTTTCTAGTTTTCTAAGGTAGGAGCTTAGATGGTTGATTTTAGATCTTTCTTCTCTTCTAATATATCCCTTCAGTGCTTTAAATTTCCCTCCTAGGTCCAATTTCTATTTAAAGGCTCCTTCGGCCCTGATCATCTGAATCGATGCTATTCTCATGGGCCTCCCTTAAATATGCGTGCTTCATGCCTCTTCCCTGTCATGTAGGTCATTAGCCATCAGGGAAATTCAAATCAAAACCACATTGAGATACCACCTTACACCAGTTAGAATGGCAAAAATGGACAGGGAAAGAAGCAACCAATGTTGGAGAGGTTGTGGAGAAAGGGGAACCCTCTTACACTGTTGGTGGGAATGCAAGTTGGTACAGCCACTTTGGAAAACAGTGTGGAGGTTCCTCAAAAATTTAAAAATAGAGCTACCCTATGACCCAGCAATTGCACTCCTGGGTATTTACCCCAAAGACACGGATGTAGTGAAAAGAAGGGCCATATGCACCCCAGTGTTCATAGCAGCAATGTCTGCAACAGCCAAACCGTGGAAAGAGCCGAGATGCCCTTCAACAGATGAATGGATAAAGAAGATGTGGTCCATACATACAATGGAATATTACTCTGCCATCAGAAATGATGAATACCCAACTTTTACATCCACATGGATGGGACTGGAGGAGATTATGCTAAGTGAAATAAGTCAAGCAGAGAAAGTCACTTATCATATGGTTTCACTTATTTGTGGAACATAAGGAACAACATGGAGGACATTAGGAGAAGGAAGGGAAAAATGGGGGGGGGAATTGGAGGGAGAGATGAACCATGAGAGACTATGGACTCTGAGAAACAAACAGGGTTTCAGAGGGGAGGGGGGAGGGGGGATTGGTTAGCCCGGTGATGAGTATTAAGCAGGGCACGTACTGCATGGAGCACTGGGTGTTATACGAAAACAATGGATCGTGGATCACCACATCAAAAACTAATGATGTAATGTATGGTGACTAACATAACATAATAAAATTTAAAAAATAAATAAATAAAATAAATTTCCCTACTAGCACTGCTTTCTCTGCATCCCTCAAATTTTGATAAGTTGTGCTTTAATTTTCATTTAGTTCAAAATGTCTTTAAATTTCTCTCGAGATTCGACTTTAATCCATGTGTTATTTAGATGTGTGTTGTTGAATCTCCATATATTTTAAGATCTTCTAGTTATTTAGTTTATTGATTTCTAGTAAAATTCAACTGTGGTCTGAGAGCAGACATTGTATGATTTCTATTCTTTAAAATTTTGTAAGGTATGTCTTACGGCCCAGAG